CGCCAGTAGCAAGTTGTTTAGAAGAGGCACCTGGGTAAAAGGTGATTGCATGAGGAGGTCTGCGGGCACTTCGGACATCGATGTGGAGTTTGAACATCTTTGACCTGATTTGGCCCAAATGACATGACAGAGGAACGTCAAAGTATTGCAAGAGTGAGTTCACGTGCAGCTCCACATCCCTGTAAATTTAATGTCATTAGCTTTCTTTTTTGAGATATTAGGTGGATGAGATTGACCCCGAATCCGAGTGATTGTACATTCCACCCTGGCGCGTGTTAAAGGCAGTGTTCCACATCTGTGTGTGTTTTAAACTGAGATAGCCAACTTTCCCCATCGTGATTCGCCGATTTTCATAGCACGGGCTGATGGCGAGGGCGATGCGAACCCCTGCTTTTTCCAAACTTATGAACATAGGGCTTTCCAGAACACCAGTGGATTGGTCTTAACGAGATCTCGCGATTGTTAATGATGGCGATTGTTTATGGTTCTAGGCCAGTGATTGACCCCATTATGCCAGGTCAAAGGTAAAATTACCCCCAAATTGCGTTTTTTCGGCTTTGCATCCTCCTGTGTTCTAGACTGAGTCTTGTAGCGACACAAAATATATAAAACATGTGTCTGGTTTGGTTTTGAGCAGAATGGTGTATATTTTGATCATTTTGAACATACATTTAAGATATATGGCTATGTCCATGTAATCACATCGGCCCGCCGCGCGCATTCCGCGGCATGGTCAGTTGCCGCCCGCTGCCCGCGCCGATCGTAACTCGCCGAGCAGGATTCCTCAAAACCCGTCACTGGTCTGAAACCAGACAAGCTAAGGGGACGCATTTCGCGTCAGAATGCGTGCAATGAATGCTTCATAGACTGCTAAATATCTGAACGCGATTGCACAATATGCCGGAGAGGTATCTTGAAGAAAAGCCTTAGGGTGGCGGATGCATCGACGCTCCCACCACACTATCAGCGCGAACACTAAAAATCCGTTAGTGCAGTTCGCAGCACCATCCTGTTAATACTTAAAATCCTTTGGTTCCTAAGCTCGATGCCGCAAACATGTGCATACTATTTCGTGATGACTATTTCAAGCTTACCCAGCCATGGACGACGCCATAGCAATGCCACTCATCTACTGCCACCTCAATAAGTCATGCAGTGCTCAATGCCGCGGAAGATATCATCATCGAGGTATTTGTGTCCGTTGTCTATCTCACGATATCTGGCATCAGTGGGCTCCAACTGGCCCCGAATCAAGGTGACGTGTTTCATGAAAGTCTCGAAGGCGAATCCCGTTTTGTGCTATGCAATGTGGAAACTTTGGCAGTGGTAAGATTTATGAGGAAAAGAAGGCTAGGAATTGAATAACGTAAGAACAGCGCCACGACCGAGCATGTGAATGCGAGTAAACAATGCAAAATCGCAGACAAGTATGCGAGAAAACCACGAGAAAGGGCCAAAACACGCGCGCGTAGTGAGAAGTTGAAATCCTAAAAGTGAGCCAGCTTGTCCGCCACGGTGCCAATTTCGCCAGTTTGGCCAGCCAGTTTGGCCAAACTGGCAATTTGGCGGCCAGTCTGACGTCATACAGGCGTTCTGATGTCATTAACGATAACATATTGAGTAGCATATTCGCTAAATATTGAAACTATGTTTGTAATCATCGAATCATTATCTTGAAATGTGGAACATTTCCTTTAAATGATTTCATAAAAAGTGCATTGATATACATTTCTAAGGTATCGACATACACAAGGTAAA